AAACTATGACAAACAAAACCATTACAGTTGTGAACAGTTAGAGCTCATGGGGCAGTGTAGCGCAATCCTCTTCTGTTTCTGCATCTCCCCCTTGAAGCCCATCAGGGGACCTCTAGGCTTTGACCAAAATCTTATCTCCTCTCGAGCTGAGCTCGAGCGGGGACACTCCTGTTCTGGGACTCACGGCTGCCACTAGAGCAACAGCCTCCAATTATGTGCAGCAACCAAGACTTATGAATAGGAAGCAGACACAAGTAAAAAACCCCTTCTGTACTTTGATCTTATTGTTTACACTGTTGGAAAACATTATCAGCGGTACAATCATTGGCTGCTGCATAGATCAGTCAGTTTAGTTGTCTGTGTTATCCCAATCTTCACTAAATATAGTTGAATCAGGATGAGTCTCCGTGAAGTGTTTAGTCCAATCAACAGAATCAAGACAGTTGTGATTTATGAATACCTGCTTTAAAGAGTATTTTTAAATACATAAGACGACAAGCGGACAAGGTCTAAAACTACTCAGAGGAGGACATTGGTGAACACTTCAGAGTGGGGCATTACAATTAACAGAACAGACAGGAAGTACAACATGTCGAACAGGAGAATGATAATAATGAATATACGTAAAAAATAAACTATAAATATATTCCTGCTACAGAATGCTCTACCAACTGATCCACCTGTCGCATGTGATGATGATACTCTTTGAAAGTCCTGTATAAAATCTCCATCAACGTATTTATGCAGTAAGTAGGGCCTGGTGCGATATGGCAAAAAAAAGGAAAATCTCGTATTTTATTCCTGCTTTGGACGATTTCGATTTTTGCATACATTTTCATTAAATAGTCTCCGAAGACAACTTTGCCCTTAGATATATTTTTGGATCCTTTCAGCTCAATATTTAAAGTTTCAAAACTATTTTTAATTTGTTTCCCAAATTCGAATAATATAAGTTAAGTACAGACTGGTATGCTGATACTGCAAGTATAATTCATGTGTTTGCTGGATTTCTCACACATATGCTTCATTCATTTCAAACAGGACTGTATTTATTTTTCAAAACATGAGGGAATGACAGGTCTTGCAGTTACGCATTTGTCTCTAGTCACAACCTGATGTTGCTCATTATGCCAATTTGTCTGGAGTGCATTTGAAACATAAAAATCAACTATCTTAGCACGCCCTGATGAAGCTGCATTTGTGTTTTACTGCTTAGTCAAAGCCCCATCACCCATTAGACAGTGATAGTGTAAAGCGTTCACCACCAAGCGTTGTGAGATGGATCGGTAATGATGACGACTGCTAATTTGTGGTTGTCTCTTGTAGTTTGTAGATCAGCCTTATCAATCTTTATTCAGGCTAAGCAATGGTCCCCAGCACACAACAATATACCAAAAAGGTAAAGGTTTAGCCCTAATGACACTGTAAAGGTGCCCTTTATTATCGCGCGTTACTAGGCCACTCATTCTCGTGATTTGAACCATCAAATGCAGACCATGCGCAGGGGTTGCTGCGCATGGTATGACGTCTGATGCGACTTAGCGAGCCGCTTTACCTGGCAGGACCCGTGTTCCGAGATTATAATAACTTTTGAAGTTATTTCGTTTTGGATTACCACTGTGGATTTTAACGCAGGACGTGGATTACTACTCACCTGGTCGCTGCTGGGCTTCGGTTGTTCTGTCGAGTTGAGTGTACTGCCCGTGAGATGAGTCTCCCTCAGCTGTTATTGATGTAATCGCTAAACCTGCGCAATGCGCGGTCTCACGGCAGCTGAAACAATCCAAGATGGAGGACATGTAGGTCCGCGAATTGCTTAAAAGTTAAAAATACAAACAAATTAAGACAAAGGTCACTTTTGACGCAATTGAGGCGAGTTGTTGATGGTTCCGTGATGTGATATGTGTGTTTTAAGAAGTAAGAGTTTTGTGTAAAGTTTGTTTTAAGATTAATCAGTCCCACTGCTCTTGTGAAAAAAAAACTACACTGAAAGTGTAACACCAAAATCTTGATTTGCGCATGCGCATGAAACCCGACAGAATGGGGATAAAATTAAATATTAGTTTTGACACACTTTTGTTTATATATTGATACAGTATGATACATGCATTAAATTTACTTTATATTTCCATTATCAACCCGGACAGACCAGTACACGGACGCGCCATTCTGCCTAGTCATGTAAATGACAAACCAACATGCATGCTGCAGTAACTGGTACTGTATTAGGACAGAGTGCAAACGTAAACGTACAAACACAACCCATCAGTCTGATCATTTAGGTGTTAATAATCCCGTGCGTATAGGGGTTTGCCAACACTACTGTGCAGCTGCAATTTCTCGCCAATTCCTCTCCTTGTCTTTTTGGTGTATGTATAGTCTTTACCCGGACACGTCTATACATACATTCACGTGTTTGCCAGAGGGCAAAACTAGTTTTTCTGCCATCTCTGATGTCCATCGAACTTTTCTTTTTTTTTGTTACTGTGTTTCCTCGCCGGCTCGTCTCGTGTTTCTGATTGGCTACTCACGTCGCAGTATGGCAACGCGCTCAGTTTCTGTCCTCAGGGGGACAACCATCACTCGATGAGAAATCGGGCCCAAAACAATCCAAACTGTGGGATATCCCCGTTATTGAGATCGGAGCAGTCCTGAAGTCCTTCCCCAAGAGCGACGAGCACAGTCTTAAGACACCCACTCACGGCTGGAAAAATTCATCTGATTTTTTTGTTACGATAATTCGGAATCGTTCCCTTACCGTTTGTCGTGTAGGGGTTAAAATATGGGTCCAATATGGCTAATGATCTGGCGGTTTGTGACCAGGCATTACTTTAAAACTACACTTATCACAACGCGGGAACCATCCAACATCTCGCCTCAAATTGCATTAAAAGTGACATTTGTGTCTTAATTTGTTTGTATTTTTAACTTTTTAAAGCAATTGCGGACTAAATGTCCTCCATCTTGGATTGTTTCAGCTGCCGTGGACGGCGCATGCGCAGGTTTGCATACATCTAACAGCGGAGGAGATCATCTCAGACGGGCAGACAACTCGTACAGAACACGAAGCCCAAGCAGCGACATGGAGTATTAATCCAGTCTCGTTAAATCCACAGATGTAATCCAAAACGAAATAACTTCATATGTTGATCGAATCTGCGGAACACGGGTCCTCCAGGTAAAGCTGCTCCAATGTCGGGCATCTGACGTCTGACCATGCGCGCCCCGAGCATGGTCTGCAATTGATGGTTCAAAATGCAGAGGATGAGTTGCCCTACGGCGATAAATAAGTGACACCTTTAAAGTGCATTAGGCTACTTTACCTTTTTTGTATTGTGTGTGCTGGGCCATTGCTTATCTGATAACGATTGAATAAGGGGCTGATCTTATAAATCAAAGACAACCATCTATATTAGCTGTCGTCATCTGTACCGCCACCTAACAACGGCTGGAGGTGAAGCTTTACATAATCAATTGTCTAATGGGGATGGGGCTTGTGACTAAGCAGTAAACACAAATGCAGCTTCTTCAGGGTGCTAATCGAAGGTGATTTTATTGTTCCAAATGAACTCCAGACAAAATTTGGCATAATGAGCAAAATCAGGTTGTGACTAGAGACAAATTTCGTAACTGTCAAGACCTGTGCATTCCCTCATGTTTGACAAAATAAATACCAGTACTGGTTTGAATCGAATGAAGCATATGTGAGTATTTCCTGCAAACACATGAATTATACTTCAGTATCTGCACAGTCTGTAGCTGTAACTTTATTATTCGAATTTGGGAAACAAATTAAAAATTGTTTTGGAAACCTTGAATATTGAGCTGAAAGATCCAAAAATATTCTAAGGGCAATGTTTGTCTTCGGTGACTTTAATGAAAATGTATTCCAAATCGAAATCGTCCAATGCAGGAAATAATATCGAGATTTTACTTTTTTGCTCCATATCGCCCAGCCCTAATTACAGCCTTTATACGTTTGATGGATTTACAGGACTTTCAACAGAGTATCATCTGCACATGCGACAGTGGCCTCAGTTGGTAGAGCATTATGTTGCAGTATATATTTATAGTTTTATTTTTTACGTAGATTAATTATTATAATTTCTCCTGTTGACTTGTTGTACTTGTATGCCCACTCGGAAGGGTTTCACTGGTGTCTCCTTCTGGTGTTTAAGACCTGTGCTCTGTCGTGTGTATTTTAAAAATACTCTTACTTGTGTTTGACTTCTGTGTTGGATCTGGCCAATCAGTGACACCAAAAATAGAGCTGAAGCAGATCCCTCCCTCAATGTGGACCTCCCTGAGATTTCTCACTTCTTTCCCCACAGGGTTTTTTGGAGATGTTCCACGTCGATGGAGGAGGGTTTAAGAACATTGGTGATAATCCAGGACATTCAACAATCAACGATATTTTTAGACATCTATAAAAATTTATGACCATTGGTCTTCTATGGACCAACGGCTCTATGTCTTTTTTTTCATTGCATTTCCTGTGTTTTAACTATTCTATTCTCTGATCTGTGTTGGCGAATTATAAGACTCTGAGATAACTACTGTTGTGAGGGATATACAAAAATAAACTGAATTGAATTGAGTTTATAATACACAAAATACATTCATGAAATTTTCATTTACAAAGCACCTTAAGTTGCTTTGACCTTCGGACTTTTTGGTTTATTGCGTCAACTAATGTACTGTATGTACCCAAGAACCCCAAGAACCCAAAGAAGCAAATATGCTACAATGCCAAATTTTGTCATTGAATGCTGCTTTTCAAAAACAGCACAGATCATTTTTTTCAACAATACTTTTATGTTTGGGTTCTACGGGATGAATGAATGAAATGAATGAAAAACAAAACAAAATGAAAAGAGTATCTATAGCCATATCCATGTTGAAAGTTAGCATGGTCCTGCTTTAACACTAAAGGCAGTGCATCTGGTCAGTCCAATGTAGCTGTTGTGTCCATATCAAACAAAAATTATAAAAAAGAATGCTTACTTTTCCCTGGGTGGTTCACTTTGGGAGCGGGATCCGGGCATGTTGTCTGACCCCTTGGCGGTGATGACTCCGTGGGGTAGCGTCCCGTCCGGAGCCCCTGTGTTGGCGTTGAGGGGCGGGGCTTGGGACCTGGAGCGGAGCAGCTTCCTGTCCCGCTGCAGATCACCTCCCAGGGTCGGGTCGTTCAAGGCCCCCAGGCTCCCGGGTTGCACCCCCGAACCCGAAAACCATTCTCCTGACTTGGTGAGGATTTCCTGCTGCTTACGACACAGGTTGCATACCCACATAACCTGACGGGACGAGAAGCAGACATGTAATCCAGGATTCATTTCATAAAATATCCCTGTCGTCTACAAATGCATGCCGGCTATTCACACTTTCTAACAGTGAATTAATGCTTTCAGTGGGAAAATGTGTCAACAAAAGTGGTACTGTACGATAATTCCTCAATCCCAAAAGTGAAGAGAACATCCTCATTCCAGTCATTTGTGATTATATTTTTTTTTTATTCCACTTTTTGTCAAAACGCAGTTTGAGATTCACACTACAGACAGGTGTATTTTTGAAAGTCCACGTCAAAATGGGGCAACAAGGGGAAAGGTTGGCATGTTGTTTGCATTTGTTTTTTGTGTGAAAAGTTAACAAAACTATTTAACTCAAGACTAAATTCATCCTTTTGAATCACGTTGGAATCTGTGTTGCTCATTACCACTGTAAACGTATTAATGCAAACTTTTTGGGTCCAAACAACTTCCGACTTTAGAGAAAAGTCTTCTAAAGTGACAAAAACCTAGGCGATATAACGGCAATATAATGGACAACAGCAAGATTATTGTTCACACCTGTTTTTTTACAAGGACAACTTTATAAAAGAAAGAGCAGTGCGTACACTTACTCTGGCGGTAATAGCCTCACATAGTAGTTAATTATTGTTTTTTTATGCCCTTTAAATATATTTGTTAATGTTTATGTAGATTTGAATATTTGCTTGATTGTGTTGCCTTATGTAGGAAAGGCGCTCTACAAATAAAAGTTTGTTACGCTGTCATTATTGTCCCTTGTGTGCTTTCTTGATCCATAGTTTGTCCTATCTCTAGAACTCCCAGAACAGTCAAATTGACGGCTTTTAGTTTTGGCAGTGTACTCACTCAGCTCATGTGCATGTTTGGTTTTCTGAACTTTGTGACATTTTTATATCTATTTGTTGTATATTTCTATTTCTGTTATCTTTTATTTTTGAAAGTAGTTCTACCTACTCTTTCAAATTTAGCCATTTTAGGCTACATTCATTTTAAGTTATATCTCAACTTGTAATTCAGGTTAAATTAATCAGTTTGAGCACATATTAACAAAGGTGAAAACTTTATAAATTAGTTACTTTTCTTTAAATTGGTAAGAAGTTTTCAGAAGTCTGTTGGTTTGAAAGTCAAAATAACGGTTCTGGGTGTATGAATAGTGATTACTTTGGCGGGTAGATATTTTCCTCTGCAAAAAATGATAAAATATGGGGTAATAATTGCTTGAATCAAGTGGTTTTTAAAAAAAATCTTAATTTACGTTCATTCTCACTGTCTTATGCCAATGGGACAAAGCCATTTAGTCTTAAGCCAAGAATTGCTGTTTTCTCATTCCAAAGGGAGACATTTCCTTTGGCAAATCTTGTTTTAAGGCAGTCAAAAAGTGCTTGGATAAAGACACATCAGTCATATGTTCATCACTTTTTGCAGTGTAGCTGTTTTATCATCTGTTCAGAACACCCATGCGCACAAATCCTATAAGTTCCAGCTTCCGTTCTGTACGATCCACAACAAAACAGCAGCTCAAATATGTACGCACAACTGCACAAAGTTCTGCACCTACAGTCTGAGTGCCTACAATACATCTGTGCTCCTTTCTCCAGTGCACTCTGAGACAGTCATCTTTGGGAACCTCCAGCAACATCCTGGTATTCCCCCGCATGCTTTTCATGCTTTTCCAGCCTCAAGTAATGAAATATTAAAGAGCACTCAGACTGCTGTTTACAATATGTGCATCTCCATTATCACACGGACTGGCAGCCGCTGCAGAGGCTCGGCTTTCCAATGATAGAAAACGTCAAGTCATGTTTGTCGGATTCCATCGACGCATGACGGGCTAATGCTGTTGGATTGATTTTTCTTAGATTACGTGTTCAGAGGATGGGTTTGGCATTCAGATTTTTGCTTGTACTTCCATTGAGAAACAAAAATGTTCTTGTGTGCTGGCAGTCTATCGCTCCACTGTTAGGTCCATTGCAAAAAGTGATGAAAAATTATGAAAAAAACTGCCTCAAAACAAGATTTGCCAATGGAACAGGCTAAATTGTCTTGTTTTAAATGAGAAAATTGTCTTGGAATGAGAAAATTAAGCAACAGCTCTTAAAAAAGGACTAATTGGCTTTGTCCCATTGGCAAATTAACATAAAAAACACTAGATTCAAGCCTTTATCACCTCAAATGTTCTCCTTTTTTTGCAGCGTATGCCTACAGACAAGTCGATATTTATGTAACAAAAAATGGGAAGGAAGACAACTTGAACTGGACGACAGCTTTCATTGTTGATATGTAGTTACTGTATATAAACGTATGATTTTTTCTTGTACAATGATACAAGAAAAAATTATAATATTTGGCTTCACTTTTAGAAAATCAAGATTCAGTTTTGAAAATCATTTAATTCATTTCATTGTTAATCATTTAATATAACAAGTACATACTAAATATCTGATTATGTATAAGTACATAGATCCCAGGATGATATATTTGGTATGGTATATTTCGGTATAGCTAATGGTAAACTCAACAAATAATCAAATAACTGATTTGTTTTTATCCCATGATGCTTCGTTCCTGATATCCATCCCATGCAACCAACACAACACAGGACACACTCACATGCACAGGTAGCCATGGTCACTCAATCTTTCCTCACGCAGATTATAATCCAGAGAACCGTTTGTCCAAATCCTAAAGTAAAATCCAAACGGAGATAATATGCAGAACCAGCTCATTCAAGCACATTGGAGGAAAAAAAACTCGTCCCTCGTCTCCTCTCTTTTGCTTCTTGATGCAAATAATACAAATTTTGTCGAGCTCTTGGGTTTGTCGGTGCTAGCATGTCGCGCACTGGGGCTGATTGAGGGCTGGTTGGAGCATGTCCAGCCTAATCTGCAGTAGATCAGTTGTCCGCACGGCCCACAGCTGTCAGTCCGCGCCGCTTGCTCTGGTCTCCAGTTTATCTGCGCTCGCTCTGGTCTCCCCAGCTGCACCTCTGCCCGGCCAGCGCAGATTAGCAGCAACCGTAATCCCTTCATTATTCAAGGCCACGTCACATGACAAATCTAACAGCTAAACATATAGGCTCTATTCTCTGCAGGACGATTGTAATCTAAAATGTTGAGATTATTGCTGATTGATGTCGCACCTTTCTCAATGCCTATAATACTTTAATATTGACAGACAGGCAGACAGATAGATGCATTGTAAAGCTAATTTGTATCTAGTCCCACCGGTAGGGGAAACCGAAGCACATGGAGAAAACCCACGCAGACACGGGGAGAACATGCAAACACCACACAGAAAGGTCCTGGAGCTGGAATCGAACCCGGGACCCAGGAAGTGCTATCCACCGCGCCACCGTGCTGCCCGCTCCAGTAGACCAATGGCTGCAGTATTTCTTTACCAATACTGCAGCCATGGGCGGCACGGTGGCACCTTCTTGCCTCTCAGCAAGAAGGTCCTGGGTTCAAATCCCGGTCGGACCAGGGCCTTTCTGAGTGGAGTTTCCCCTACCACTAAAAATACGTACAATAGGTCTGGCATGCTCCTCCATCTCTGTGTGGAGTGAGAGACAAGTGCCCAAAAATAACAATTGTAAACCGCTTTGTGACTCTGGTCTGTGAAAGGCGGTATATGAATAAAGATTACTTACTTACTTGGAGGTTTACTCATACCAATAATAAACAATGTCATTTTTTGTTTTTGTTTTGTTATTGAGACTCATGGTTGAGCTCATGCCTCACGAATATGTGGGTTCCATCCGTTCTGGATCAGAGTCTAAAGTTCCCCCTGTGTCTGGGGGGGTTTTCTCTCTGGCTTCCCCTAGCACCTAAACAGGATGAATGTGGTGAGTGAATGATGATGGTCGTCAGAAGGGGCAATGGCACAGACTTGCCTTCTGTCAACTTGCCCCGCGGCAAGAAAATATACTGTGTATAAAAGTCTTTCTTAAAATATTGTTTTATACATTGCATTTTAGCTCAGTTCTTACATGAGATTTGCCTTCTGTCATTCTGAGCCCTCACCGCTGCTTTTACCCCGAGTGCCCTGCAGGACTATACATCTTTAACATAGATTCCATAAAAGCTCTAATCTGGAGTCATAATCCTGGAGTTTCATATAGACGAAAGCACATTCCTTTTTCACATCAACCGAACAAATCCTATTGATCTTTGTGTGAGGTTAAACTCTATAGAGCACAGTTTAATCCTTCCATGTCCTGCTCCTCGAAGGACTGCGCTGGAGTTAATTGTGTGTGAATTTGCATGAAATAAATGGATGTGTCCTATTTCCTCTCATGTGTGAGTCACTCATGGCGTGTCGTCCAATCAGAGGCCTCCGTCTATGCGGCCCACCTGTCAAGACGACTTCACACACGCCTCAGTGCTGCTCAGTCGCAGCAGAAGCGTGGCCTCTGTGTGTTTCTTCAACACATCATTGATTTAAGCAGCAATTTCTAACACAATTTACTTTCTCCCAAAAGTAACAACCAGGATTTACAAAGCCAAGTGGTTTAAACGGCACTTTCTGCATGTAAATAATGGATAATACTTTTATACATATGTGGAGCATACATAGACGTGCTACAGGGAGATTTTTTTTTTTAAGTAAGACAAATTTAAGAATCCCAGCACAATCATGATTGTAAAGGAAACTAAAACTGTGTCTAATGACAAAACAGGCTCTATTGTGGCTCTATTGTTTTGTCTTGGATCTCAGTTAACTAGGGATTCTGAAATGATACAGGGAAGGCATCATCAGAAAAGAAAAGGGAAACGTTTTAGCTGACTCTAGAACTTATAAAAAAACTTTCATTTTGAGACAGCTACAGTAAATAAAGTTCCAAACGTATTTGTTGCTATTTATATTGGCCCCTTGAAAGTACTCATTCATAACCTTGGTTATTTGTTTATTTGGATAGGACAGTGTGTATTCATGTTTGAATGAGCTGTGAATACACCAGTTTGTAGGAATGCAGCTAATGTGCATTGTGC